CAGTGTGCAGCTCTCCTGCTCCAGCTCTGACAGCCTTTATAGCTGTGCCACTGCTTTCCAAGCCAGAGGACATGCTGGTTTTGCTCTTTAAAACCTGGGAGAACCAAACCTTAATTTTCTCAGCCAGCTGAGTACTTTGACTTGAGCAAGCCAAACCCACAAAGCATTTTCCATTTTCTCTTTGACCACCACTACGCGCTAAGCATTCATCATCGCTTTCTAAATCCCACTGCTAACACTACCTGCTCCACATCACTGCATCATACACATTTTGCTATATGCACAGTGATTTGGCTGCCTCCCAGGTCTTAGTGAGTTGGCCTGTGCACCATCACATCGCTGTCCCAGTAAACATCAGTCAATACAGTGGCTCAGTCATTTATTTTGAGCCCAGAATTGTAATACTTTTCTCTATAAAAAGTAATAATGCTAAAGTTAGGGGCAGGTGCAGCAGACCGGGCACTGATGGTTGTTGGTAGTATAGTACACAATTACAGTTCCACTGAAGTATAGGAATTTATCTTGACTTGACAGTACATGGAATATCTGATACAACATTACACCCCTTGAAAACTATTAGAGTGAGTCAGAACCAGGAAGCCGAGTTTTCCTACAGATCAACATTATATATCAGATGGCTTTGTGATCTGGGGCAACCCCAAAGCCAGAGTAACACTGCATTTTATCATGAACTGAGGCAAGAACAACAAAGACAAAAGGTTCAGTATTTTCTTCTATCTGTCCATGACACTCAAGAGTTGAGGTGCAGTTTCTAAAGACAAGCCTGAAGACTAGCCTGAAGACTACCAGGTTCATACTCAGTTCTACACTGTACACATCAGTTTGTTGCTTCACATTTACTGGGCTCTCCTCACAGTTTATAACTATGCAATTAATTTGTACCTTCCTTCAGACTAACCTGACCCTCAAGTGGCAATTCAGTACTGGTGCCCAGTATCCTAGTGGTGTGGATCAGTTTCACTGCTGCTCTGTGCACAATGACTGTGTTCTCTAAGAAACCTCCACATTTTGATAATGAGAGGGACTGCAAGGTGAGTTCATCTGACCTGTGAGAAATCAGACACACTGCAAGCTGACTGTGTGCTTCTAAATCTTTAGTGTAAATCACTGCATCAAAGCCCAAGCAGATACGGGGGTGCCTGGCTTACCTGTGATGTTATCAGAGTGTTACTGTAGTAGTCTGCAGGCATTAGGTTCTCCACAATGTGGACCAGGCACCAAAATGCACTTTCCTCATCTTCAAGTACCAGGAGAGCAATAGCTGCCAATCTGTGATAAATGAGACATCATGAGCCAGTGACACTGCAGGATGAGACACATGAGCCACAGGAACAAAAGAATCCAAAATTCCTCTTGGCAAATCTCTAGCTCCAAAAGCATCCAAAATATCATGTCTGGCAGGACAGCTGCTCAGAGACGCAGATGATCTGTTCTGCAAGTTTCTGAAGATACCTAGGGACTGTAATTTTCTTTCCTGTGCCATTAACATCTGTCAGCAATCAATAAGCATCAAATGCAGAACACTGCAACAAAACAGATTATCTATCTGACACATAGCCCACAAATATGCTGTAGTTAGCAAAGTGTGCTGCCTTTTGCAATTTCATTACAGGAAGAGTATTTTACGTGACATAGGTCACCTTCTTCCCATTCATCCTTCTACAATTCTTGACTTCTTTAGCTCTAACTGGCTGAAACTAGACCCCTCAAGCCTTTTCTTTTCCAGAACAAGCCCAGTATCCTCAGCCTCTCCTAATATGTCATATCCTCGAACACCCCACCTCTAGCACCTTTCAGCATTTTCTCCAAGTCTTCTGAGCAGAAGAAACCTGTGAAATTTGCCCCAAGCTTCAGGTTATTGTTTCAGGACTGCCTCACCTTTCTCATTCTATCTTTTAACTGTGGGAATGCTGAGTAAGTGCATCCTATTGCTTGCCTGACCCCACCAACAACATTGAGTGAAAAAGACAAAAACACCAAATGCGGAAGTCTGAAAGAAAGCACCCAGAGAAAGTGCAGATCTTTAGAGATACAGGAGCCTACATTGTAATTCAATCAATCCCAGAGTATATGTCTACCTCACTCCTTACCTGTTCAGTCCCTGGCAGTATCCAATAGCAGGATTGTGCCAGGAGAAAGCCAGCAGCACCCTGCGGAGTTTGGGGATGAGCGGGGAGGTAGGAGAAGAAAAGTGTTTGTTGTTGGTGAGTGTGCGGGGCAGGTCGAGCTCAATCTGCCGGCACGCAGGATGTTCGGTGGAGAGACCGCTTCGGATCAGGCTCTTCAGCTCTGCAGAGGGGCTCAGCTCTCCAACACTATTCCACCTGTCACGGAGAGGCTTCTCCACTACCTCCTGGCTTCGCAGGTTGTTAGACTTTATCTCTAAGGCTTGGATTTTGGCCAGAAGTTTCCAGTCCTCAACTTCGTATTCAGGCACAGTCATAAATCCATACTCATCATACTCACTAGAGGGATACAAGGTAGAGGTTAATTCAAAAGACAGCTCTTGACTCCGCATCCAGGATCACTCAGTGCTTGGGGCCAGGCCAGCTGGAGCCTCCCTCTGTACTCCTGTCGCCCACCCCACAGCTCAGGTACTGCTCCTTTGCTTCTCCAGCAGTCACTGGTGAGAACCTGCCCACTGCCCCCAAGCCTTTGGGACAAATGGTTGCAAATAAGCTCATGTCCCCGATTACCTTACAGGATTCAGGATAAGACCTTCCTCTGCTTCTTCCTTCACATCCCACTGGAGTGCTTCCTGGATGAGATTCCTCACCAACTCAGCATGGGAGCTGGGCAGAAGAGGCACAGCCTCTTGCAGCTTCCGCAAAACCATCAGGTATTTGCTCTCCATCTTACAATTTTGGGCTTGCAGGCAGGCACACTGATGAGGAAACAAGAGGGACTGAGCTGTCTCACTGATACCTGTATTGCTTCTGTGTCCTACTGAACTCCTGCACCAGTCCACAGCATTCAGCCCACTGTTCAGGACAGTACCGCTGGTACTAAGGATGCTGACCCCAGATCCCCAAAAGTGACCACCCCTGACCAGCAAGGTACAGGAAAGCACATTAACAGTTTTATTCACTTAAAGGAACCACAACCACAGATGAACCACCCTGTTCATTGAGCAAACACAAGCTGTAGTAGTTAGCATGCAAAAGAAGCTGCTTATGGCATGGGAAAGCTACTACAGCATCACACACAATAGTTATTACAATAGCGAGTGACCATATCTCAAACAGCACAAACAAACAGCGCTCATTCCAGCTGAGTTCTCTGCAGGTTTTCCCCCTTCTCCTCACACAAGTTCTCTACCCCATACTGAGCTCCATCATGTCAAAATACACTGTTGCTGGCACTGAACTGGGATCATGCCATTTCCAGGACACACAGTAGTACCAGAGACAACACAAGACACATGCCCCTAAACACCAATCCTATGGCCTTCGTGTACAACATTTCTTAGTGCAGGAGGCCCCAGTGAGCCACGTAATGTCCCTGTGCACACACTACCATACTCTTGGGACGCACAAACCAAAGAAGCAGTGGGAAAGATTGAAAATCCCAATCACAACTGAGGCACTGCAGCCACCCAAGTGATAGGACTCACCCAGTGTCTCACAGGAAGCACAATGAAGACCCCTGCTCGGTGTGAAGCAACAGTTCAAAACAAAAACAAAAGAGAAACCACAGAAAGTATTAGGCTGCAGGAAATAAAAAGGATCATGGGATCCTGTAGCATGAGCACTTTGGTCAGCACTCGGCCTCACACTGAAGCATGTTGATCTAATTACTTCCCTTCTAAAGGTTACAGCAGCCATGGAATCGGAGCAGGATAGTAGGAAGCAAAGATACACAAGAACTGCAACACTATTTCAGAAGCAGCTATATGCCCTGGTCCAGAATCCAGAACAGTAGAGATATCGTCTGAAACCTTGGGACAGCTCAGGGAAAACCCACAGAACAAATGCCAGCATGCACCAGCAACCTAGGAAAGTGCTTCAGGACAAGAACACAGCACATCTGCCAGCAAGAGTTAGACAAGTCTAAGGGTAGCCAGGTTATCCACACACACAAAGTTGGAAGTAACACTAGAGCGTAACAAAATGTTTGAACTGTGAACTAGGTGCCTGTGAGTGCTGCTACCCTTCAGTGCCAGGCCTAGTAGAAAAATGTGGATTAGATGGAGCCAGCTCTTAAATCAATCTGGCAACTTCTAGGAAGCCTTTAGGATTTCCTAAGCATCGTATTGCTATTTTACTTTTATCCAAACCCACAGCTGAAATCCAGGAGGGCATGCTTCACCATACCTAAGAACGTGCTTTGCAGAAACTTTATTTTTACTTAAGAATTAAAATGATCATATCTAATTTGGGAGCAGAGAAACGGACATACTGAAAAGTAATCTTGTGAAGAAAGCTTCTTCCTGATGTGTTTCAGATCAAGGTCATTTTCAATGCCTGTTTGGACAGCATTAAATCAGAAACACATAGATTTTTCCAAGTGGAAAGAGTTACTCACCTTCATCAGAAGTGCTTTCTCATTCTCAGCAACACCTGTCCAGAGTCGAGTAACCTGGTGGATCTCCGAGTTCAGAAACTGATTTTGTGTTTTGTATGCATCAATATCATCCTGTCACAAAGCAAAATAGTGAAATAGGAGGAGTTCTTCAGGGGCTTGGAATTCCCTCCCAGTTTAGTTTTTATATAACAAGAAGGATGTCAGGCACGGAGTGCATTACGGACAAAAATATATCTCAGCAGAGAATACACGTCTCCAGGACAAATACGAAGGAAATCACTATATAGATGTGGCACATCTAAAGCATATATGTGGAATGTGTTTCACGCATCCCATACATATACACTTAGAAAACACAGAGTTTATATAGATATATGAAGCTACAGAAGCACATAAATAAAATGAAAAATATTTATGTTTTGTTCAATTTTCTAAGACAGCCATAGCTAGCAGTAAACAAGACTCTCCTATGACATGGTAAGGGGCTCCTCTGGCAATTCTCCACCTCATGCTGGTTGTCTATTATAACTGTGCCTACTCTGACACCATAACAGGCTGCATTTGAAAGAAACATGATGTTTTGGAAAACTGTTTACAAGTAGGAAAAACATGAGCACAGCCAGATAAGGCAGCAAGTGATACTGCAGCTGTGAAGCAAAAAACAGGAGTGAACAAAGAGGCAGGCACTGAGTGATGAGACCAAGTCTCATTTCAAGCAATTTTCAAATTGCTTGAAAAAATTCAAGCAAACAAAACAGACACTTGGCTTACGCTGAGACAGATGTAGATGCTTTTGAGCATCCCATAGGTATCAGGCCAGCAATCCAAGCTGCCTCTGCTTTGGAGACACATGGAACAACTAGCAGAGATATGTCCCACGCTTCCCAGAAGGAATATCCACTCACTGAACCAGGGAGTACAGAAATGGGAGCTGAGTGATGTGTGCCACACACCTTCAAGTGCTCAATCTCCTCCTGCTGTTTATACAACGTTTCTACAGTGATAGTGTTGGTTTCCTGCAGGGGATCAGAGAGCTCTCGGGCCATGTGCTCTGTCAAGGCCATGATGACTTGCTGTTTCGCATGGTTCTTTTCCATCAGAAGCTGCACATGATCTTTGAGTTCCTGGATATGGCTGTCTTTCAGGGTTAGTGTCTGCTCCAGCTCCATCTTTTCTTTCTCAAGAGCATCCAGTCGACTGGTTAGATCTGCAATTTGTCTCACTTTGTGGCGCACCAGCTCCAGCCTGTCCTTATCCTCTGCTGCAGTAAGGTACATGCTGGATACTCGCTTCTCCTGTTGGGCTGCCTCCAGAGCTTTGTGGAGAAGCTTAACCAGCTCCTGCGAAGGGAACGAGAAGTCATCACATCATAGTGGCACATGAGGCACTGGCAACACAGATTCCACTGATACTAAGCGAAAGAAAACAGCTGAAGATCCTCAGGATCTAGACACTGACTCCATTCAGAAGAAAAACTGAATTGTTGTACTTACCTCCTAGAGAAGCTCTGCTGCCAGAGCTAACTCTGAGAGGTCCTTGCAGTAGGCAACACGTGAGTTAACTTTAGGTGGATTGCTAAGAAGAAGCTTCTGCTCACACCGCTTGACTCCTGGCTTTCTAAAACCATCTCTCCTGTGAGGCTCAGGAGAGATAAGAAAATCTGGAGATCTGATCAGCAGTCGGGCAGAATAGGAAGGAGGGGAATAATGAAGTCTGCATCTATCTGCGCTACCAGATAGAAACTGCTGTGTCTTTCAGAATCTTTCCTCACTCCTTCCCACACAAAAACTCAAAAACTTGCAGTAGCACCATGCTGCTTATTAATCTCAGCCACTTAAGGGAGCAAAATCAGGATGTAATTGATTACCCACCACGGCAATCTGGCTCTCCTGTTCCTTCTGCTGCAAGAGAAACCAACATCACTATTGGGGAGCCTTCTATTGCTACATGCAGCCAGAGAATAGCAACATGTATGAGAGACAACACTTAAGGCAACGTGTGGGATTTCTGTAGTCAAATTATCTCTTAATGGTGGCACACTGCTCGGAAACACAATTTGCTGCAACCTGAATAACTCAAAAAGGCATTTCTGACAGCACCACTGCAACAGTCAGCACTGTACCTCAGCCACACTCCCAGAAATAGAGCTGCACCAGCACAAAACTTGCAGAACGTCCTTTCCAGCCTATCTACTGCAGGTCATTCCTAGCAACAGCTGCTGTTTTCCCTTGTGTTGGACAGATAGCTTCACGTGCAATGGAGTAACACAGCAGCTTCAACTGCCCTTTCCCTCACCCCTGTGGCTGTGAGCTACACACTTCTTAACCTAATAACAAAATCTAGGGAGCCTCTGTGAGCAAGACTGTCTTTAGAAGCAGCAGATTCCTAGGCCACACTCACCTTCTGTGACTTGACTTCTTCCGTGAGTGTCAGCATCTGTTGCTGTAGGACACTGACTTTATCCACTGGGCTCCTCTCCCGGTGCGGCTCTTCAGCCAAGCCTGGGGAAGCACTGTTCCTCCACTTGGCCTTCCTAGCCCAGTTCAGTCTGGGTTCTATCCTCACGTCCTCCAGAGCCCCCTCCTTTGCTGAAGAAAATAAAAAAAATAAATAAGGCGATTTACATCAAAAAATGGGGCTGCTACTATGGACTCCTCTGTCTTGCTGTGGCAGGATTCACAACAACCTAGGCTAGAAAGCTGGCACACAAGACAAACAAAACTGACCTGATGGGATTCATAGGACCAGTGCACAGACAGTAGACAATAGACACAGGTACTCCCAAAATAAACAAAGTTATGGTCTTCTATGGCCCCTGCCTACCTAAACTGCATCCCACCTATCTGTCTTGCAGCAAGTACAAATTAGCACTAGCGGAGAGCAAAGGCTCACCAGCAGCTCCACTGTTTGCCTGGTAAGACAGGGTTAAAGGGGATGCAATTGTGCCTCAATTTAACTTCTGTTTCAAAGAAATATCAGTATGGACAGGGACCATGCTGCTACTTTTCCCTCAGGTATAGGTCCCAGAGCTAGGAGATACAACAGATCCAGCCTGAAGTAGAGTCAAAAGTGTCATTCCTGCATAAATGACACAGGAAGGGACCTGAGAAAATATGATAGGGGTTTCTATGTCCCAAGAGGGCTTGCTACCTGCTCCCTTTCTTTTCTGCTAGGCCCAGCACCCCACTACAAGGGTTTATTCTCCTAATACCTCACACAGAACAGTAATAGGCACCTGCACACCCTGCCTCCATTTCTGCCTCTTGTTCCTCATCCAGGTTCTCAGGATGCTCCTGGAATTCATCAAAATTAAAGACATTCCCATTGTTCCCCCACAGCTGCTTGGAGCCACAGATATTGTAGACAGTGTTTCTGAAACAAGAAATCAAAGACAACCTAGTGAACAGAAGTCACAATCACTTCAGCCAGCAACTTCAGACTGTTCAGTGCCTCACTGAACTTTCTGCTTTGCCACGGGTCTGTGCTCAGTGGACCTGGACTATCTGTATGTTGTGACCGTGCCTATTTCTGTAACAAATTTTTCCCTTTCCCTCTAGTGTTGTCTATTGGCTAAAAGGAAACAAGCCTCTTGTTGTGATTTCTGGAAAGGGCTTGTTGTCAGCTACTTCCTAACTGTAAACAAGGATGGCGTTTAGATATTGCTCTCCTTTTCCGTTGTTACTGGGGGACTCTGCAGCAGAAGAGCAGCCATTTCTGACCACAGGGAAACTAATGGCACATAAAACCAGCAGATCTGAGTGGAATTGGCTGTGATCCTCTTCAGACCGTGCAGGACATTTCTTCCTCTCAGCATCATCTCAAAGTCTTATCAGTGGCAGTGACAAAAACTCCTCCAAAAATATTTGGCAGATATCTGTGACCACTTATACGCTTACAGTTATTAAACAATTAGACAGAATAGAGTTATGAGATACTAAATGGGGTTGTCTCTGTGCATCTGAAAGTGTGACAGTCTTTAACTTGTAGCCTGAACTGTGTCACTCATTTCAAGTGCACACAGGGTGCCACTGGAGGCAGTGAGACTATTCGGTTGCTTGAAGCTCAACTTAAGCTAACAAGTTACATAGTAACAGGGTCATAGCTTTAGTCCTGCTGCTATGAGCTTAACCAAGCTCTAGTTGCGCTGTTATGACCGTTGTTAAGAGCACTAAACAACATGAAATGTATTGAAACATGGGGACAGAAGGCACAAAGAGACAGGCTATAATATCAGCTACACTGCAGTTTGCCCTGTGTACTTACTGTATCTCTGTCCAGGGGTGCTTAAGGGATATGTTCTGCAAAGCAGTGGATGTTTGGGGTGCAGGCAAAGAAGCTGCCTTTAAACCCACTGCTTCTGTTGGTGTTTTGACTGGAGGCAGAAAGTCTTCACTGTCAATGACATCTACATAAAAAATGAACCAGAACACAAAAGAAAGTGAGCAAGACAATCTTCCATTGGACTGAGACTCATTCATATGACTTAGAAACCACATTTTTCTTAGAAGTCAAAGTTCAGTGTACATAGGCCATTGGAAGAATGATAGAAAATCAGGTTTTCTTATCATTAGATCAAATAAGGCTCTATGCATAAACACATGCATCTCTCCTGGGACAGTCAAGTCACCACAACTATTTGCATACTACAATAACTAACTCCAAACTTCAACCTTCAACTTTCAAAGGAATAAGGAAGAGAGCTGTTACTGCTCCTGCCCACCCTCCCAAGCAATATCTAATATTAGTAATGTGTAGACAGTAACACATTTTATTGACATATTATTGCCCACTACAATAAAGTGTCAAGATAATCAGAACTTTTTAAAGCAGCTACATTTTTGAGGGGGTGAAGGAGGCTTTTTTTTAAAAAACAAAACCTGCATCTAAGTGGATGCCCTGTTTGTACCATGCACTCAACCACACCATGTGTGCTCACATTTCTAGCCACATACATCCTCATCCACCCATTCCCACAAATAACTTGTTTGCTGTAAGCTTAGCAGACCTGGCAAGAAGATATGCAGATTTGTCACATGTTGAAAATCAAAAGGGAACCCATGGAAAGATACCTGAGCATCCCAGGCATCATCCCGAGTGCATCTGCTGATCAGATATGGAGCAGTAGAAAGTCTGTTCCCCCTCACCCATAATAAGGCCAGAAATTCCACGTATCAGTCCATGCACTGATGACTGGCCCTTGCACGTAAAAACCCCTGCTCACTTACTGCCAAGGGACACCATTCACGACTAAGGGCTGAAAGCAAAAGAAAGGCGAACGTAGGTGGCACCTACTTGTTCTGCCAAGCAGCGGTTCATTCACAAACTGGGAGCTGCCCACAGGAAATCTGGTCTGAGCATTGCAAAATTCCCAGCGTCTCATTTGTAGCTGCTGCAGCCAATACATCATTGCTTGCTTGCTGATTGCCTAATACAACACAAAACAGGAAGGGGGGAAGGAGGATCTTATCAGCACGAGGCACATCCTGAGGGTCTGATCATCACTGTGAGGCCTGAGTCAGCAGTAATAAAGGTTTAGCTGTGTCATGCCTATGCTGCACCTTCTGATCCTAACCCTAATTTGGGAGAGAGGAGTAGATCCTCAGTATGGTCTCAGTCACAGGACCTCAGCAGGCAACTGATCTCATTTCAACACTTTTGTGGTTTATTATGCTCAAAGGCTAAGAGAAAACAGCAAGATTACTTTAGTTGAGAATCACTCATGGAGCTCCCTTAACAGTTACTTTCAAAGAAACAAATACACTGCAAGGGTTCCTGCTGGAGCAACCATTTGATAAAGGGAAATGCAGTTCTACTCAGAAAGATGTGTGTGGATTGCAGGACTCCTGACTGATTTTATTCACCTTTAATCCCACTGTGCCAAATAAAAACAAAACCCTTTTCACAGCAAATGGAGTACCAGTCTTGCAGAAGCAGTGCAAGCAATTCAGGACCAAAAGGTAAGTCTAGACTGGCACTAAAATGAAACTCAGGCAGTGTTATCTTAACACAGACTTGTCTATCCTAACTGGGATTGTTTCATAACAGCTTTCAAAAGAAGATATTGCCCTTTACCTTCAAAGTAAAAACTCTGTTTGGTGTTCTGATCTCAAAAATCCCTTCCCCGTTTTCTAACTTGCAGTCAAGGCTGGCGCTGGAGATATCGATAGTCCCCAAAGGGTTGACATCCTGTGCCGTTCTGTAGTACAGTAAGTGACATTTGTTTTCATCGTAAAAGAACCAGCGGGACTTCCAAGTCTTGATAGGCCCCTTGATGCCCAGTTTGTTTAAATAGCCGCAGAGTTTTTTCCTGAGTTTGTCTCTACTGGGTTTCAGCTGCATACTTTCCAGTTCTTCAGGAGAGGGCAGCATGTCTTTTTCTTTTGCTGAGGCTTCATTGCTCGTGTTACTGTCGGGATTTGACTCCACTAATTTGTCTGGAATTCCATCAAGGGAACATGATACACTTTCTGGTCCTTTATTCATCTCTTTCAGGAAGTATTTATATGCAAAACAGAAATGAAGCAGGAAACTCACTAGGCAAATGAGTAATAGAAGATTCCAACTACACCATCATTATTACAGAACCTGCAGCAGATAAAAAATGAGGAATAAGCTCAGGCTTGCTTTAGGAAAAAAAAAAAAAAAAAGAACACATTTCCTAGCTTTCAAACCACCCAGACAATATAATTGATTTTGTCATCACTCCATCCTTTCCTGAGCTCAGATGGCACCTATGCATCTCTTTTCTTCCTTTTCCATTCCTAAATCAGCTTGGAGTAGCAGCCAAGAAGCAGTATCACATCCTTCCAGGTGAAAAATTGACATGGTCTGTGGGCATAGCAAATAAATAGCCAAAATGGGGACATATGAAGCCAGGCAACAGAGTAAAGAGCTGCAAGAAACATGGCAAAGCAACAAGCTCTCAAGCTCTGTGGGCGACATACACACAGGTCAGAAAATTTAAGACGCAAATATCCTGACATTTCCCCACAGCGCAGCTGTATTTTAAATGATGTATTCCAGAGAAAATCAAGCCTAATGCAGCATCCTAATAAACCATTTGTGTCAGTTTAAGAATGCTGTTGGAAAGTATGGCTGTTATCTGATAGGGATCCATCCAGCAAGCCTCCCTTGCTGGATGGATCCACCCATCCCTTTGTAACATACATAATGCATAAGAAAGTCACAGAAAAGGGAGATATAGTGGTGGATACACCACTCAGGGAAGGGTAAATTTCAAAACTAGATCAGGCTCCTCTGGGCCACATTCAATTGGTTTTGAGCATATCCAAGGATAGAGACCCTGTGCTTAAACATGTGGCAGGAGTGATATTGCCCACAAAGCTGCCACCAGCGAAACCGGTGGCCCTTATAAAAAGAAAACAAACAAACAAACAAACAAAAAACCTAGCATTCAGACAGACACCTCAAAATGATTTTTTTAAGTATAGTTTAAATCCCAGTAAACAAAATGATTATCAGAACCATCAGTTCTGATACTAACATAAGCAAATAAATTGTTCGAATAGTAAGTCGGCAAGAACCAAACTGCAGCCACAAAACCACTGAATAAGCTATGTTAAGACAACAGGTAAATGCAGAACACAGATAAGATTACAGACACACTGCCCAAGCCCCACTTTTAGCAATAACCTATCCTCATGACTGAAAGAACACTTATATTTCCTTGTGCACGTTAAACCTCATTAACTTTTACTGCTGCTTCCACTTCTTCCTCTTTTAGCTTCTAGAGAACTATAGATAATGCTCCCTTTTTTTGAAAGATACTGAAATGCCTTTAATCTATTCTTCTGAAATCCACCCATCCTCAACCCACCCTGGGGCTTTAATAGCAATATAAGCATAAAAACCTTCTGACTTCTTTGCCCATAGACTCCAGCAAGCATCCACCACCCACCAGCATGACAATCAAAGAACCATTTGGCTTCAAGTAGCAGCTTTCTAGTCACAGCACCTGATGTGCATTGCGACTTACTGTAGAGACCTCCTTCAATTACCTCACCTCCTTCAGAGCAGCAGAGTCAAGACGCAGGCAGTGACAGTGACCAAAGCCTTGGAAACAAACCCAACAGCAGCACAAATAGGGACTTCTGCCTCAGGCTTGCCTATATCCACCTGCTATTAGGGTACAGTTTAAAAAGGGGCGTTTTTAGCCCAAATCAGCACTGACGCAGGTCTAACAGCAAAAACGGAAGATGAGCATGGCTGGCACTGTCCCCAAGCCTGGCGCTGCGGAGGAGCCTCCCAGCCCAGCAATGCCCCACAGGGCGCTGGAGCCTGGCACCGAACAGCACCGGGGACACTGGCACCACTGTCCACTCAGCGTGGCAGGGGGGCCTAGTGCCAGGGAGGGCAGTGTGGGGGGGAACACGCTGCCAGGCTGGAGAATGGAGGACACACAGTGTCAGGAGGGACTGGGGGGGGCATTCTCAGGCTGTTAGGGTGGAATATGGGGGACCCAGAATCTCTGACTGGGGAGAGGGGAGAAAAAGAGGTACACGGGGACCCACAGTCTCTGGCTTTTAGCAGGGAGATTTTGGGGGACCCATATCCTCTGGTTTTTGGTGAGGAGGGTTGGGTGACCTACATCCTCTGGCTTTTGTTG